CCTCCTCCTCCTCCTCCTCCTCCTTCCCTCGGATTTCTCTTTTAACATGCTGGGGAGGTTTTAGCGGCGCGGCGGAGTGCGCGGGGAGGCGAATTCCCCGCTGAGCGTTATGTGCGCCTTCTATTTGCAATTGCAGAGCAATATATTCGGCGGTCTGGACGAGAGCCTGCTGGCCCGCGCCGAAGCCCTGGCAGCGGTGGACATCGTCTCCCCGAGCAAGAGCCACCACCACCACCACCACCCGCCGCACCACAGCCCCTTCAAGCCGGACGCCACCTACCACACCATGAACACCATCCCTTGCACCTCCGCCGCCGCCTCCTCTTCCTCGGTGCCCATCTCCCACCCGTCCGCCCTGTCGGGCACCCACCACCACCACCATCACCATCACCACCATCACCACCAGCCCCACCAAGCGCTGGAAGGGGAACTCTTGGAGCACCTGACGCCGGGGTTGGCTCTGGGGGCCATGGCCGCCCCCGACGGCGCCGTGGTCTCCACGCCGGGCCACGCTCCCCACATGGCCGGCATGAACCCCATGCACCCGGCGGCGCTGGGCATGGCCCACGCCCACGGGCTACCGGCCCACATGGGCTGCATGAGCGACGTGGACGCCGACCCCCGCGATTTGGAGGCCTTCGCCGAGCGTTTCAAGCAACGTCGCATCAAGCTGGGGGTGACCCAGGCCGACGTGGGCTCGGCTCTGGCCAACCTGAAGATCCCCGGGGTGGGTTCCCTCAGCCAGAGCACCATCTGCCGCTTCGAGTCCCTCACCCTCTCCCACAACAACATGATCGCCCTCAAGCCCATCCTGCAGGCCTGGCTGGAGGAGGCCGAGAAGTCCCACCGCGAGAAGCTGGCCAAACCCGAGCTCTTCAGCGGCGCGGAGAAGAAACGCAAGAGGACCTCCATCGCCGCCCCGGAGAAGCGTTCTTTGGAGGCCTACTTCGCCCTCCAGCCTCGACCTTCCTCCGAGAAGATCGCTGCCATCGCCGAGAAGCTGGACCTCAAGAAGAACGTGGTCCGCGTCTGGTTCTGCAACCAGCGCCAGAAGCAGAAGCGCATGAAGTACTCGGCCGGCATCTGAGCCGGCGGCGCGGGGCGGGGGGGGAAGGAAGCGGCGGCATCAGCACCGGTTTAAAACAAAAAAAACAAAAAAAATCATAACCCATAAAATACCTAAAACGAAATAAACGACAAGGACAACGACAACGAACAACAAAAAAGAAAAGAGGAAATAATGATGGAAAGAGAAAAAAAAAGACAGATGGCAGGTTTTTCTGCATTTACACTGCGTATTATAAATATATAAATATATATATATTTTTACTGTGGTTATTATCCTTTTCCTTCTCTGAAGTTATAACGCTTAGGGAAAGAGCTGATCCTGCTGTGTTCACTGGTCTTCAAAAGCTATTATTAGATTACTGCCAAACAACCCCTTGTAAATTATTAATTTATCTCTCTAGCAACTTCATTTTGTGCTCATTCTAATTAATTACACCTCTTTAATCTAAGTCTTGATAAAAGTATAAAAAAAAAAAAAAAAAGAAAAAAAAAAGGATAGTGAGAAACAAATATTTTGTGTTGGTAGGATTTATGAACGTGAGCTTTTCTTCTTCTTCTTCTTCTTCTTCTGAACGTCCCTTTTGGCCATCTGTAAATTGTCACCTGAACCTAAAGGTATTTCTCTTGGCGAGTATTCTTATTCGTACGGCGTCGGCACCCTATAGTAGTTGTCCTACATTATTTGTGGAGCCTGATTCACTGTCCGAGCTTATTTGTTTACCGTGTTACATATTTAATGGGGATTCCCAGATTGTGTCCCCACCGCACGCTGCTCCCGGAGCGAGAAAAGGAGGTGGCCGCGTAGGGGACAGCGCA